GTCGGTGTGGATCCCATATAAATATATAAATAACTTTCTGCATATAATTCATTCTTGTTGCTGTTTATACCATTGTGTTAAAGGCGCTACAAACACAAACCCGAAAGTCTTTTGTCAGCCATTATTATTGGCGGCAGAATCAGTGCAATAAGTAGAACATGAAGAGCTGTGTTAAGAAATTTATAAGTTGCATATCCTACTTGATTTTTTGCAATCGTACATGTGTGCACTTAAACTAAATCAGTTCATCTTCTCAAGGAATTGACTTGATTTAAGTGCACACATTTACAAATAACCTTGACATTATCAATACTGTGACTGATGGCAGGCCCGTCTTTAGGTGATCCTGGCCCCACAACGAATTAATACTTGTGGCCACTACAAACTCTTTTCACCGCCCCCCACCAAAAAATTTATTTTTCAGCACTTTTTTTTCATAGCATACTTAATAACTTTTTTTGTCCGCTAGTAGGCCTGTTGCAATTCTTTGCTCTTTTTGAAGTTTAAAATGGAACTTTTTCCAGTACAATTTGTAACAACAGCAGAAAGGAACACCCTTAGTACAACATTGACATTATGGAATTGATTGAAATTTCTGTCTTTGCCTTTAAAGTTCAAATAAAAGTTGATTGATTATGAGATTAAATACAATAATCGTTTTTTCTCCCACAGTGAAGCCTGATACCTCAATAGATATCAATTTGATATGTTGACGTTAGCAAGCTCAGCAGAGCAGTGACGGATCTGGTCACAGCAACAGAGTATTTGTTGATGCCCACCAACAACATAAATTTTTTTCAAAATTGAGTAAACTTGGTTCAACCTCTTGAGCAAAAATAGACAAAGAGCGATGCAGCTCATTTCACTGTCAAAACAACTTCAACTACTTGAAGCATTTTATTTACTTTGTTAAACCTTTCCGTTTTTGTGCATCAAATTAAATCGGCTGCCCCAGCTTATATATTTTCTGTTTAAAGTTTTAAAGTGTAAAAGTGAAGTTTGAAAAATAAAAAAGTTTGATTTTTTTGCGGCTGGCCTCTTCAAATGTTTCGGCCCTGCAACAGCCGCCTAGGCTGGACATGTCTAAAGACGGGCCAGGTCACGCTGCTTCTAAATTCAGCAGAACGAAGACATGTTAAGATTGCAGCCTGAAGCCTAAATAGCTGAAATAGTGACTTATATGTTCAAATAAATGATTCTTTAAAGATGATATAATGGAATCAAGTACGAAATAATTATTGTTTGTTTAAATTAGTCTTCCCGTTATAACTCAGGATTGCATCAAAGAACTTGCCTTCTGCATAGACAAAGAACTTTCTTATCAATGTTTATTAATTATTTGAAACCGATACATTTGATAAAACGCAGTAATTCAAATTAATATCTGCAACCACAGAAGTCGTCATTTGTTACAGTGGATGGAATCTTAGAAGTTCTTCACGGAATTTAATTTATCACCAGAACCTCCTACAAAACGTACCACAAAACATCATTTTTTGCTCCTTATATATCAGACATTTTTTCTACTAGGATTGAAAACCTTATAGGTTTGATTAATGGTTCAACAATTTGTGTTTGTATCTACACTTAGCAAATCTCTATCAGATCTTTGAGTTTAATTTAACGTGAGCCGAAGTATATAGATCCATTTTTATAACTTTGCTCTCAGTTTCCAATCTAAATTGAAACAGGTCATGGACATTTTTTTTCATAGTGCAATTTTGTGTGAGTCACAAAAGATTATGGATGATAAAATCGATAAATGGGTTTTTTAATTCTCTAAATTACCAATTTGACTTAAGATGTCTCAATTTTTATGATAGTTAACATTAATGCAGCATCCTGCTGCTCATTGTTATGCTAACATACTCACAAAATGTTTTTAAACATTTTGCTCATGTATTTGGTAAATGGTGGTGTAATGCACCTTTACAGCCACCACGAATGGGTTGCAAGAAACCAAAATAAAACATATTGGTCGTTAATTAGGTGGTTCAACTTGCAGTCTTTCTTGAAGGTGGGAGTGATTTTAGCTTTTTTTTGTTGATTCGGTACTTCAACATCCTTAAGCAATTTGGAAAAAATAGTGCTGAATAGGATAGCAAAGTCTGACTCGCACTGCTTAACTTACACAGTAAATAAAATACCCGTTATATTTTTAAAAAACATAACGGGAGTTTTCCTCGCACATAACGGGTAATTGCCGTTATGTTTAATACTTAACATGTATGAAAATAACATAACGGTTTTAGCGTTATGTTTAGTCATAGCAAAATTGCCTTAAACATAACGGTTACATAACGCTAATTTACCGTTATGTGCGAGGAAAACTCCCGTTATATAACGGGTAATTACCCGTTATGTTACCGTTATGTTGAAAACCTAACATAACGGGTAATTACCCGTTATGTTACCGTTATGTAAAATGAAAATTATCTTTTTAAAGAAACGCATAATTCTGCATGACTATTCGCACAAAGTACTTAACAAAAAAACATTTTTTTGTCAATAAAAGTTGTAATAAGAAAATAAAAATTATACATAAAATATATTTCATATCATAGTATATTTATATTATACTATTTATAATAATCATGAAAATTATTTACAAAATAATTGAATAAATTATTTACAAAATAATTGAATAAATTATTTACAAAATAATTGAATAAAATAACTTATTAAAATTTATAAATTCAAAAGTAATTTGCATTGCAGAAGAAAAATGCATTTTTTAGATAATAAAGCCAATTGCAAAAAGTCTCAAATATCTTGCTAACATCCCAGAAGCCGCCCAAAACAAGAATATGTTAAATCTAGCAAATAGTAAACAAATGTACTGATCAAGGGTTGAACATCCATTTCGATACCTCTTCAACTCCTTACATCATATTCTGTTTTATTAAAGATAACTTGTGGACCATATAAACTTTGGCATAAGTATTCATGTAGTGAATCACACTAAAATTTTATAAATAAAAAATAATTATCACAATCATAAAATAAAAAATTATTATTAATACATTAAATGGAAAAAAAAAAAAAAGAATGTGAACCATTGCAATACAAAATATGCTTACCATTAGTTAAAATGTCAGCAATATTACAAGCAATAACAATTTTCTTTCCCCAAGAAATTTGACAACAACAGCCTTTATTATTTTCAACTATTAACTATTGAAGAAATAAGTAAAGTAGTTATTATTAGTTTATACTATTTTAATTTTACAAATAGTATATTTAACATTTTTTAATACTTGCAATACAAAATTAATGTTAAAAACAGTAAAAATAAACAAACAGGTCAGACGGTAAGAGGTAAACACCATTATTACACAAGTATTAAACAACATTATTAAACAACATTATTTGGCACAATTTAATTAGTTTAATAATACTACACTAATTTATATTATATTACTAGAAAAAATTTATTATAAAAATATCATATAATATATTACAATAATCATACTATTATAGTATAAAGTTTATATATTATAAGCATATAATAGGGTCATTCCATATAAGATGAGCTTAGCCTTCTCGCGTGACAATGTTTTATTTTCTTGAAATGTATACCTCCTGTAGGTTTTATG